TTTCTATTTTTAGTAGAGATGGGGTCTCGCTCTTGCTCAGGATGGTCTTGAACTCTTGACCTTGAGCGATCCACCAGCCTCGGCCTCCCAGAGTGCTAGGATTATAGGCGTGAGCCACCGTGCCCGGCCTCAAGTAACTTTTGAAATGTTTCTCTTTCTGTATTTTGAACATCTTTTCTCTGAGCATACTCACTAATATCTCACAGAACACTGGGCAGAGCAGAGTTTGAAATCTTTCTACAGAATAGTTAAATCAAAATTAAGTTAGAAATTTTTAATTGCCTCTTAGGCACAAAACCTACACCACTGGCAGCAATTACCAAACAGCAACTAATTGGGGAATGCAGACACAACTCAGGTTGATTCACTGGTCTTGAATAGCCAAATGAATACCTGGCCATTCAATGGGTGCACTGCTGACCAGGAGATCCTACATCACCTTGAAGATTTTTAGATATGCAAAGTCTCAAACTTTTTTCCAAAATTATTGAATTTCAATCTTCAGAATGTTAACAAGATCCCCCACCTGATTCATATGCATATTAAAGTTTAAGAAGCACTGGTCTAGAACAAAGATTAGCAGACTTTTTCTTAAAAGGGCCAGATAGTTAATATTTTAAGCTTTATAGGCCATACAGTCTCTGTTATAACTACTCAACTATGCTGTTTACCATACTGATAAGAGTCAGTATAGTAAGAAGATATAGCAAAGATGCATATACAACTACAAACAGAGTTTCAAAACACGTAAGGTAAAAAAAAAAAAAAAAATATGACAAGAATGGAAAGAGGAAATTGACAATTCAGCAGTTATAATGGAGATTTTAATCTTTCTGTCAGTATTATAGAACTAGACAGAAAAATCAGCAAGGATATAGATTTATGAACAACACTGTCAACTGACTTGACCTCGCCGATATTTATATACACTGTACCTAACAACGGAGCACTCATTCTTTTCAAGTGAATGTGGAATAAAACATTCATCAAGGCCACAAAACAAGTCTTACTAAAAGACTAAAATCATACAAACTACTTCTCTAACCACAGAATTAAATTAGGAGTCAACAACAGAAAAACATGTGGGAAATCCCCAAGTATTAGGATATCACACAACAAATTTATAACCCATGGATCAAAGAAATTTCAAGGGAAATTAGAAAATATCTGGTGTAATGGCATAGTACTGACATGAGGATAGACACATAAATCAATATGACAAAACAGCTCAAAAAATGAAGCATAACTTACAAAGGTGCCAAGGCAATTCAA